ATTAACTCCGACTACACGGTCATGACAGAGCAGAAAGTCTCCATTGGACTCTCGCTGCACAAACGAACAAAGGCAATTGAGATGCTGCAATGATTCGCTGATATACTTATTGATATACTTATTGCATTAAAGTCGTCATGACCTTCTCGGTCGTCTTTTTCGTGATCAATCGTTTTTATTCAGCATATCGTTGATAGTTCTGATTTGCTTACCTGAAATAAGCATGACAATAATACCTGCTTCCTCGTGCTTCCGATATCGATTTTTTCTCTGTTGCGGACTCGTCCCTCTGCAACCTGAAAAAAATATATTCAATTATTATTATTACCAAGAGAAGAGGCGTGGTTACACAGAAATCTTTACCATAATTCGATAAAAGGCACTGTCATACTTTTGAAAATATTCTTGTTTGTTCAACTGTCTATACCTGCAGCACTTCGTTTATGACTTTCACTTCTTCCTGTTTTCGCCGGCTCTTCAAACAAAAAAAGAAAAAAAAAAGAAAATCCTTGCACAGTTCACGAACTTATCAACTTAATCATAATTAGCTCCTATCACACGGTCATGACAGAGCAGAAAGTCTCCATTGGACTCTAGCTGCACAAACAAACAAAGACTATTGAGATGATACAATAATTCGCTGATAAGTAGTTATAATGTATATAACTAGTTATATACTCATGACCTTATTAGTCTCAAACAGTCAAAATTAAACAGTAGCTGGTATCTATATTCATCCACACATCTGGGGAGAAATTCTTATCACAATTACGAAACACAATTTTTTTCTTGGCCCGTTTTGTTAAAAGTTTTCTCACTGAAGAAACAATTTTAATGTATGACTTTATGTCCACCAGAAAGTTTTTAACATTTGTTAGAGAAGAGCTGCAGTACTAACTACACAGCGGCCTTTGGTACCTTCATACATCTACTGCTTATGTTTTCCAACAGATATCTTAAGTATTTTACTCACCATCATTCCACGCAACACTGAGAAGAACAGTTAACACAACAGCCAAGGGAGCTACCGCAGTGAAAGCGAATACTGCAATGTAATGAGTAATAATTTTTTTGTACCAGTTTCACAGTTTAGAGCTTAAAAAGAATAATAAAAATAGCTTATTTATACTAAAAAATAAACGATGTCTCTGGTTTTTATTTCTTCTACTAAAAAATTAATGCTATGATGTCGGGTTTTTTGAAAAGTTGAGGAGTAAGGGGCGGAAGATATGGTTTAGTGACAGGTGTCCAATGAATCCTATGAGGCAAGGCTAGGCGAATAAAAAATTATGTACAGAGGGTGGGCATGAAGATTTAACGACCCCCTTTCCTTCCAAATTTTAGATTTCTTAGCTGACCAAGCGAATTTAACACCGCAAAGATCCTATATGTCTGCTCCTTTTGCTGTAGCTCTTGCAGAGAAGTTTCTTCTGTAAATTCTTGTGGGTTTGTTCCCTAAGAAACAGAATGAAAATGTGAGTTGATCTTAATGCAGATCGACTGAAACAGTCAAGTTAGAGGTAGCTAGTTTTAACTGGGTATTATTTCTAATTTGTCAATGAATTTTTCAGTGTCTTTACAAGATAAACTGTTATAAGCCTGATTGTAATTAGCTGGCTACAACTGTCTCTGTTCATCGTAAACAATGAAAAACCAACCCTTACAATAAACTTTTGTTCCCTGTATATGCGTTTCGGCAATAATTATACGTCATGTTATTTCATAGGGATCAAGATGAGGCCAATGCTTCTATAAACTGGACCAAAAAGTGATTGAAATAGGTAGCATCAAGAAGTGCCTCTAACGCGACGCTGAAAGGAAACCATTCAGAAATTTACATACAGCTGTGCACGCGACAATCTAGAAAGATAATCTGGGTATCCGGAAATCAATGAATTTTTCATGAGTCCACCAAGAAATGGATTTAACCCAAAGCATCGTCATTTTCACTATGCTGAACAATGAACACAGTTGCCAGAAACTTCTTCCATTCCAGAAAGATGAAAAATAGTAACCGAGTCACAAGTAACCTAAGGCAAGATCGGATGGCTCTGATCGGTTCCGGGAATACGTTCCAGATGAAACAGAGAACCCACTTAAAAATAACCCAGATCTTCATTAAAGTAATATTTACACAACTCACAACAACGAAATATCCACATAATCCGCAGAAATAATATGGTAAATGAAATACGCCCTGAACTGCCAGGATGATCACGAACAATATGGCGACAGTTTTTATCGCTGTAACTAAAGCGTAACCAGCCGAGGAACGTCCGCTCAGAAGATTTATCCTGTCGTTGATCATTTTTGCTTGGTTACGGATGATGGTACATAGTGAATCAAAGAAAATTTTGGACTGTACAATCTTATTGGAAACGTTGCCACGTTAAGTACTATCCAATTTGCTTAAGCGGTCTCTTCAACGCCTTTGTGATGTGTGTTCGAGACGTGCTTAAGACGCATCATGTATCGAAGAATTTCGCTCAATGTCAGCAATAGGAATCGTGTATCTTCTATATTTCGTTTTCCGTTGCGAATGGTCCTTTGTAGTCTTGCAACATCTACGAAGTTCACAATTCTACAGTTGTAAAGGGAGGTGTTTATCACGAAAGTGGTAATTTATTCATTTTTCATGAAAGCGTGCGTGACAATTTCGGTTTCGTGTCAATGACAATAGTAATAGAGAGAAATGAGCACGGAAGCGTGATGAAACCGGAAGTTGGTCGATGTTTTCCCTCGAGATTTTCACTGTTCTCTCGCTAATGTAACATTGAAAGTAATAATGAGTCTAGCGGCAATCTGCCCAAAAAGCAGTTCACTGAACTTCATTACACCGTAATTAATTTCACAGACCATCCGCTGTGGGAATAAAATTCTTTTGTCTTAGGATCGATGTTAGAATTGAGAACATTACCGTTTTCTCGGAATCCTGGTCCTCATTTCCATTCAATGTTATTTTTCAAAACGCGACAAATGATTTCGAGAGTGTTTTCAATGTTTTCTGTGATGGAGGCAGGTTTTTTAGAGCCCCCTTTAATTTGACAGCTTCATCTCAACAAAATCAAATTGGAAGAGCAGAACTGACCGATAAATCATGCTCGTGGCAGCGTTGCAAATTGTGGACCTCAGTTTATGTTGATAACCAGGGATGAATGTCACTAAAATAACATGTACTGAATGGAATTTGGATGTCTTTTTTGTTGTGAAATTCACGCTGAACACACTCTACTCTCAACACGGAAGAAGCATATCTGCACGATTATGCTTTTTAGATTTTATAATACGCTTTCCATCGCTTTGTTACCCAGTGAAACGTAAACAAGCTAATTTCCTCACCCCACTCATGTCGGGAGAACATTGTCGTTTTCTCGGAATTCTTGCTATCATTTCCATAAAGTGTTTTAAAACGACGATTTCTTGGTCGAGTGAGTTTTCAATTTTTCCTGCAATGGTGGCATCCGTTTAAACCCCCTTTACTTTAGTACATCGATGCGCCTTAGAAGGTGTTCAGGGACCTTGCCATGTTTGACATGTTTGTCTTGGTAGAATTTATTATTTAAAGAAGATGACCGTCGTTTACGTCTGTCCATACTTACTGAAGCGCTTCGATGTTCTAAAGAAATGCAAAAATAAATTCGATTGCTTAGTGCACGAGATGTTAT